CAAGATGAGCAGCTGACCAAAATGAGCAGCACTCCCACAGTGGGCTGATCCCTGCAGGCTAGGCCACCCCACCAGTGCATGAATCCATGCACTGGGCCTCTAGTTTAATATAATAGTAAATAAAATCAATAGAAGCAGAAGTGTAATAAATCTTTACTAAAGCTTCTGTTTGGTGGTAGTATATTAAATTTTTTATATCACTTCATGATGCTCAAGGTATGTTCATGACCTCATTTGATCTTCCTTATATGAAGTAGAACAGTTTTATTACCCCAGCTCTGCAGGAGAGAAATACAATAAATGGCTTATCTAGATTTAATATTTAGCAAGTTTTAAGCATAAGATTAAAATCTTTTTATTTGATCCAATTAGAACAGAACCTGTTTTCAACATGTTGCATCATATAGTGAAAGTAAGTAATCTATAAAACTTTTAATAAATTACCAGTGCAATAAGCATTATTTTAGTTAAATCATCTGAAAACAATGTATATTTAGGAAAGCAATTGTTAACTTGGGCACTTGGTGACATAAGATATTATAAGATATTAATTAATATGAAATGTTGGTCAAGTGTTTAGTTATAAAACACTCAAAGCAATGTCTATAATTTACCTCTTACAACAAAAAACATAAGCAAAGAAAAAGTACTGATTTCTTTATGCATCTTTCTTAAATTGAATTCAGGCCAAAAAAGAATATTTTAATTGATACAAATGAGGTTTCTTCACATATTTGATTATATAAACAAAATAAAAAATTTTTGAATTATATATGTATTTATAAAGCCTATTTTTTTATTTTAATATGATTTTGTTATATTCAATTTATAATTTGAAATGAATTATTTTATGAAACAAACTTCAAAATGGTATTTTGATAAAAGTATACAGCTATATCAACTTTATAAATACTTTTGATTAAATTGCTACTTCCTAGTATATAAGTTATATTTTGTATTTACTTGGTACATATATCTAGATGTACTAATTTAAGAATATCAAGTTAAAGGAGCATATAAGAAAATTTCAAAAATTCTAAATTGTAACAATGACAATTATTTCAGTCATATTATTCATTTGAGCACTTTTCTACATGCATTTTCCCATAAAAATTCTCCAGATAAATCCTATGGAACACCCAGTTAAAGATAAAGAACTTAGAGTTTATCTCTTATCCTCTCATAAAACTCCATTCAATTAGGATACCAACACATTTATCATAATTTCTAATTAGGTCAACTTCTAATTTCTAATTTTAAGGGCTACTGTCTACATCATCACCCCAAAGGATGTATTCTAAAAGTGAGTTAGCCAGTTTTTCTGTACTAAGTACTCACTTGTACTTGGTTTTCCAAGTTAGCATTTTCAAGCTTGGAAATGTGTGTGGAAAGAAAACACATCTCTATACATTATTTCATAAGCTATATTCCAAAAACTGACATAATTATTTTCATATAAGCTCAAATAAACTAGATTACATTAAGTAGAGTTTCATATATAAAAATGGTGAGACATAGTCTAAGCAATTGATGATGAAGAACTGTCGAAAACAGAATTAAGTTGAAAAACATAGAGTATAGAAGAAATTATATTTCTTGTAATAAGATATAATTTACAAGAAGAAAATGTAAGAGCAGGCATTTATTCATAGTCTGTAAGGAACACATGACAAAAAGCACTTTCATAATTCACACCTAAAAAGATAATAATTTATGCAAGATCACTCCTTTAAAAAGTAGAGATGAAAAGAGACATGCCACCAAAAATCCCTGCCAAGCTAAGGATAAACATAAGAAATAAACCATATGTGTTGTGGGAGGCAAATCCACAAAGAAACTCTTAGGCAAAAATAAGACCAAACTATGACATGCTCCAGATGTTCACTAATATGAAGGTCTCAGCAAAATCTGACAAACTTCAAGGTCTGGCAGGAAAGGATAAAAGTT